TACATTCAAAACAAATCATTCATTGCTTTTCAACAGCAGAAGATAGGAGAAAACTACATCATGACCCCCACTGGTTTCCATTCTAAGCCATATATGGTAGGTAACGTGTGAATCATCCACTGACTTCCATGATCTCTCTGACCTCACCCATGGAGTCGTGATGCTGCACCGACAGATGTTAACGTGATACAAGTATCATTCATACAACAGTGCCACGTGATACACTGACCACCCTTCCACTTCTCCTATCCAGTTCGAGACTGAGGTCTAGCAAATAATGAACGGTGTGGAAGCCGTTGAGACGACATGCATAAGACATGTCGAAGCCACCGAAGTCGGTGTTTCCAGATGACTTTACTTAGTCAATGACGATCTCCATCATGACGAAACACCACACATTGTCGTAGCTCACAATGACTTACATGGTGTTGCCACTGGATACGAACAATCAATCCTATGGAGACAACAATCCAACGATCATTGAAGACACAGAGTCGTTGGACATGCTCATCTCGAAGAGGCCATGTTTCACAGGGGTAGGTAGAGCAGAAAACTGGCCACACCGAATGGTTGTAAACGTGACGTTTAATGGTCAGATTAATGTTGCGATGGAGCGAAGAGTGGCCGAGATTGACGTGCGCCACTCTGGCTTTCTATATACGGTTAGAAATATCACGACTTGCACGTCCACCAGCACTCACACAACTACTCAGATATATGAACTTTTCGACTACTTGCAATTGCTCATCACCGAAGGTAAGCTTGTGCACAGATTTCTGTTAATCTTGCAAAAGTACTTTTCACTTCAATGGTGCAAAGCGCATATCGTACTTACGTGTTTGAAATAACAACTGCAGACTAGATAACTTGGACACTGTCACATTTCACTGTCTGGACATCGCTGCTCTTGTTCACATCCAATGAACTGAACACAAGACCATCCCCCAACAAGCACCGAAATAACTAGTTAGGTTTCTTTATTCTAACTGGAAAGGTAGTTTTTGCATAAAATGAAGAATCTCAGTAGTTGCCAGAGTGAACTTTAGGGTCAATCTATAGAAGAAATAAAAGCCAACGACTTGTTACCCTTACATTCTATGCGGTTTGAGTTATTCATCTACCCAACAGAATCATATGACCGAAAAGCACCGCGATTCATAAAAAATGCAACAGGGTAATACTTTTTCAAATAGATTAAATAATACTACCGGTAACGCACGTTCTTCGATCCATTATAACAGGTAAGTAGTAAGCAAATGGTTATCTATTCAGCTGACAAATTCCATGAATAACTGTAATCTCACTTTCAGATCATTTGCTTTCACAAGTACCACTTTGAAGGCAACAAATATTACATCAGATGCTGCTAACTCTAGACGACAGTAGTGAATGCAAAATCAAGCAGATAAATGTGATTGAAACAGTAAACTGTTATATGCGTATTTAGTCTGTTGGGGGTGAAGCTCACCATTGCTGCAGCTCGAAAGTTATAGCTCATGGAATCTAGCTGTTAAACCATTCATCAAATCCAACTGATTGGTATTCAAAGACTGGCAACGCAAAAAACTAACTAAGCCAACTTGAAATTATGTTAGATTTTATCATTACTAGATAGTTTCCTTACAAATCAACAACCATATTAACGGAATTTCTGCTTACTTCAAAAGAAGAAAGAAAATCAAGTGCCTGGTGCAACTAAACATCACAAAGATGATGCATCTCGTCGTCGTCAAGCAATTCTAGATATTATTTGAAGCAGGATAAGTTTAATAGTAACTTCTATGCACTTGCAACCACCTATACTACTACTACTACTACTACTAACAATAATAATAATAATAATAATAATAATAATAATAATAATAATAATGACTTTGTTCTGAAAGTTATTTTGAGGATACTTTACAGAATTTTCAGCACGTCTCATAGCATCAATCGGATAGAGACAGTGTATATGTACACACAGCAGAATAAGTAGAAATTACATGAAGAAAAGATAAAAATATTCGCACTATCTACAACTTTCTTCAAAATCTACAGTCAATTTAGGTAGACAATTACATTGACAATTAGATTCATAATACGTAAATGCAAATTTTTACTCCAGGACTGGTCTTCAGCGGTACCGTGGCTAACAATAGAGAGTGAAGTGGTTGAGTGTGTTGACCACTTCACTTACCTGGGAAGTAGGATCAGCCCTGGTGGCTGGCTCAGTTGCCGATGAGATTTCTGCACGGATACAAAAGGCTCGATTGGCTTTTGCCAATTTGTGCCACCTATGGCGCCGCCGTGATATCCGTTTGTCTATTAAGGGTCGAGTGTACTGCACCTGCACAGCAGTCCGCTCTGTTCTACTGTATGGCTGTGAAACATGGTCATTGAAGGTGGAAGACATAAGAAGGCTGGCTTCAGGTGTTTGACCACCATTGCCTCCGTAGTATAGGCCGTATTCAGTGGTGTCACCACGTGAGTAACCCAGAAGTCAGGAGTGGAGTTTTAAGGAGAAGAGGTAAGTCGGTTGACGAAGTTGTGAACCTTCATCGACTGAGATGATTGGGACACGTACTACTTATGCCCAGTCACCGATTGCCTCATCACACAATGTTGGCCGAAATAGGTTGAGACTGGAAAAAGGCCTGAGGTGGCCAGACTAAAACATGGCGGCACCAATGTATGAAGTCTCTGACTGTTGGTTTAAGCCATGTAGACGATGCAGACTAGGTGGTTGGGGTCGGTGGGACAAGCGGAACCAGTGGTTGGAGACTCCAGTCGATACGGCTCAGAACCGATGTCGGTGGCGCAGATGTATACACACATTATCCTCATCTGAACTACACTATACCAAATCTCACCATTTTGTCACTCCTCTTTCCTTTCTTCTCGTACTTTATATTTCTTTTGACTGCACTCACTTATCTTCATCCTTCACCTCACTACCTTTTTACTTGATGTGCTGATATGAGGTGTGGCAACTCGGACCGTTACGCAGTAATGCCTGGTCCTATGTTGATAATGATGATGATGATGATCCTTGGGGAACTCCAGTCACAGTAACCAATGAGGCAAAGCGCTTCCCTCTGTGAATAGTACGTTGTTTCCTATCACATGACATGGATAGTTAATGCCTAGGCACTCAACTTCTAACTAATCGACCACCGGTTTGAATGCTACTCCATATCTGGAAATGTTTACGTAGTCATAGTATTATTGATATTGATTGGTGATTGCAGGTGAAATGAAGAGTTGGGTTGTATTGGATTCGAACCAGAGACAACCGGGTTTTCGGCCAGCGCTCTATTAACTGGCCTTAACTAGTAGAGTGGTCGGTGGTTTGAATCACACTTTGATCCAACTTTTCATTCCACTTTCAGTCATCACTTAGTATCAATACTAGTCTGCCAAACTACAGCTATCTTGCTCAGATAGTCAAAATCATAGTATTATTGACCAAGCATATTGCTGTTTTGGTCGTGTGCAAATCTGCATTATTATTGAATCTTACCATGTGATAAGGTTAAGTATTCTAGAAAGCAATCACAAAATGTTACACCACCTATTGATAAAGACTTGAAATTAGTTCCTTTTTTTATCGGAAATTTATGAGTAAATAATATCTATGCTATTTTCTGGGTTGCATTAGAGAGAGAGGGAGAGAGAGAAAAAAAAACTTTTTAAAAACATGAAGACTACTCTTAAACCAATCTCTGTTGTTTTTTCTTCAATATTTTTAGCATGATGTCAAAAAGAATAGTAAGTGGTTCAAGTACGCTTTGATAAGTGAGCGAAAGAAATGCAACACTGAGTTCTCACTTAATACTACTACAAAGAGTTCAATAACAAGATGATATAGTGAGTTATTGTATGATACTTCGTTTAACAAAGTAATAATTTACAATTTATAAGATGATAATAATAGTAATAATAATGATAGTTGTAACAAACTTTCACGTTGATGAGCCAGACATATTTCAGTGTTTGCCTTCCAGAACTTTAGTGAATGAAACGGTATTCCAGCCTATGACCTACCCAATAGTTAAATGTCGATAACCTAGACACGTGAACTACACCTCCATTGTTTTTCATTTAATACACTCTGTTGTGAAAAGACCATAATATCTGCCTTTCATCTTAGGGCATTCTCTCATTTGATGTGTTGACATGATGCATGGCAACTTGAACTAGTACGCAGTAATAATAGGTCCGATGTTGATGTTATCTGTCTGTCTGAGTTGACTTCCATGAGAATTATTTGTTTCAAATAATGAAATAATTCGATGTCATTCATGTGAACATAATAACGTGAACGACACCACCTCTCCATAGGAAAATAGGATTGGTGCTAACCATGACGTTTTGTAGACAGCTAAGATAAATTTCGTCTATTGCAGGACCTAATATCACTAAACAAGTGACAACAACAATTCAAGCTTTCAGAAATATTATATAAACATTTCTTAATACAGTCCGAGTGTTCTTTGAATATATTCAAGGTAGTGTTAACACCTTTATTGATACCAAGCAAACCATTGTACACCGAAAAACAAGTGTACTGTGCTGTATTTTGCTGTCTTATTATACGGCTATGAAACATGCCCGTTTAGAATAGAAGATATGAATAACTTGAGTTTTTCAAACATAGTTGTCGTCGTACCATTGGTTACACATAGCGGAATTACCGAGTGAACAATGGTGAGGTTAGGCACCGAATAAAAGGCAAAGAAACCAATTCAGTCGATTAAGTTGTGAACTTTAATCAACCCACGTTGGTTGAACAAGTATTGTAAGGCGCCAAGCCACTGTCTATCTCGAAATTTATATATTAGCTAAAGTAATACCGGGTCGGAAGAAGGCCAAGGATGAACAAACCAAGAGGTGTAATCAGTCGATGAAGTCTCTCATTATTGCTTTCAGCTATGTAGGGAGCTGTAGACTTCATAGTCATCATTCTTACACATATTCAAAATTTGAAGTGTCGAAATTGAAACGATACACTTCTGAATCTAATTCGATGCCTTTTGCCCTCTGTATAAACAAGCCTATGAAGCGAAAAAATTTAAATATGAATAAATAAATTTTCTTTTTCTATTTGTTTCCATAAAACCAACATCTTAGACAATTGGCTTGTACGATCCACTCATTCACTCACTCTCTTCTTTCTAAAAAAAATGTTGAAGTCTGAGAATCTCAGTTACTGGATTGCGATCCATCAAATGAATAATATTGTACTCTTCTTCTTCGGAAATTAAAGGTTTCACGTATTCTATAAGAAATAATCCAGGAAATACATACAGTACTACAACATTACTGGTTAGAGGAAAATCACAGTTATTGGTACAGTTTCCCGAAGAGGAAATTATTTTATTCAATGAAGTTATGCTTGATAAAGTAATTAGGGTATAAAATGTGATATGAAATATACACTGAGAATGTACAGATGTGGAGAGTAGAAAATTTAACTGATAAACCTAATCCATGTATCAGTCAAGTCTCTAATTACTTACAGAAAGAAAAAACGTGAAACATTGGGTACAAACCCAGCTAAATTGGTTGAGTTAAACAGACAACTTAAATCAAACTTACTGTAAATGGATTTATCGATTAGTAACATTGGATACTGTCATTCATTCTAAAAAAACAGCCTAGTGATATATTGTCAAGTTAGAATGCTTTTATATGTTTACATAATATAGATATATAAGATGGATCATATGTAATCTTAGCTAATTAATGACATTGATATGCAGATAAGCATTATTGGTTTTCAGTTCTTGTCAAATCTACACCTACGATTGCTAGACCTCAATGAGAGTGACGCATAAATGCCAGAACAAAAATACCAGTTTATGATGAAGGTGGTGTAACGACCAAAATCCAATTATTTCGGTCTGAACACAGGAAACAATTCAACGGAACCATGTGATTTTGATTACTATGTAAAAATGACATCTCGTCTATATCACTTTTTGTGCTCTCATGAGCTAACAGAAGTTGGAAATATGGACGAGTGGACTCTGACTCAGTGGCTCAATGGTAACGCGCTGGCCGCGGAACCTGAAGGTCGTGGGTGCGCACTGCTGAGGAGTCCCATACCAGGACGAAACAGCTGTCCAGTGCTACCAGGTTTCCTTTGTTCCTCCAACTGATGTCAGTCTACGATGAATAACAACTTGAAATAAATAATGAGTGTTAAGTCAAAGAAGATGAGCAAATGACAAAATAATATAACATTGGTTAGGGTTAAAAGCATAATATCCATAATGAGGGTGAAAATATTCAAATCAATATCAATACTGTCAAATAGAGTGGCTCAGGAGGGATTTTGAAATCATTTATTCCGTTATAGGCGGTATTGTAAATAAGGTTTAGAACCAAAATAATAAAGAGAATTATAATCTTGAAGTCCAGCGCTTATGAAGGGGAAAATCACCGCATCGACCATAAGGAACAATTAATTAGAACCAGCTATGCAACTCGTACAGTCAAATTAGGATCGTACTCCTTAAACGCGCAAACCAGTCAGATGACCGGGAGTAGGTCACACACACACACACAATTGGAGGGATAAAGGCTACTAATCAGAATAAAGATCAGAAGTAAGAAAATAGGTTAGAAAGGCAGAAGTGAGTACGGACAAATGAACGAATATATGAGAGAATCCCAACCGAATAGGAGTGAGTGAGCAGTAGGGTTGCGTTACAAATACCTCCTGTTAGGTGTGAATACTGATGCGAATATGATAGACAGGTACAGCTTATTCAACAATCTAATCGTGAAATGATAAAGTGGTCACAGTGAAAACCAAAAGTTAACGGATCAACGCAATACATTTCAAGACATGTAAATCTGAGTGATTCCAATTTTAGACAAAACAGCTTACCAGGGCTTTGGTGTTTTCGACGGTTCTCTAGTTGATATTAGTTCATAATAAACGCACCTTCAGTATTAGTTCAACGAAATTTTGTGCACACACGTAGAATAGGCACTACCATCTGAGACAATATATTCGACAAGTAAGCATAGGTGTAATCTATAATTCAAGTATCTACACGCGTGTTTGTTTGATAACGCATAGGATACTATCGCTAGTCGATTACGATTGATGAGGTTTGAAACAGACTCCTTATTTTTCGATTATTCTTCAAGGTTTTCGAAAAAAGGCCAATGTACGAAGTAGCTAGTTCATATCTTGACCAAATGCTAAGGGTGTATTGTTCATCAATCATAAACAAGACCATTGCAAAACTTATTTATATAAACACCTCTTTTGATAATGTAGGGTCAGGTGGCTGAAAATATTGCTTATAACATTTACCTATTAAGATTCTTCTGGTTTGATGGACTAATGATGTGTGAAATAGTGAAGGTAATAAAAACAGATGAACTTACTTTAGAAGATTGAAGATTTTTCAGTTTATTATTTGAAGATGAATCCATTATCGATGAAGACCCTGGAACATATGATTTTTTATTAGGTAAAAATGATATCTCGTCTATATCACTTTTTGTGCTCTCATAACAGCCATCAATAACTGAATGAAATTCATTGACTGTAACCGGATCAGAATGTGTACTTGATAAATCAGAACTATGATTATTATCTCCACTGTTGTGATTGTCATTCATTGTGGTTGAATCTGGAATCTCTTTAACTATATTTTCTTTTGAATACGGATTTGCATAAGGTGAGTCTGAAAACTCGTTGACTAAATATGTTGATCTACATATTGATGTATCACAATGAGTTTATCATCTATGATTTCAGAGGTAATAGGATATTTTGTTGAAACATTACTGTCACCATCAGCAATACCACAGACATGAGGATGCGCTGAATGAACATGAAATTGTTGATGAAAATGCGGGAAATGTGGATGAATAAAAGGTGGAGGTGGAAATGGATGTATTGAATGACCAGGAATAGGTTGTGGGTGTTGTGATGCATACGGATTTATGTGGATTAGACCTTCATTACTTGGTATACCCGGAGATGTTAATAAAGGATGAAGATGACGATGATGGTGATGATGAGGTTGTAAATGCTGATTAGGATTTAAAATTAAATTTGCACCAGCCGTAGAAACATCATTGTTTGACTGATTGACATCGGGACACCAGTTGCAACCATTGGCAATGGGGGAGTAGGATAGGGTGATAAAATGACATGAGTAAGAATGCCTTCTTCATCAACAATTTGTTGAACTAAATGGCCAGGAGGAACTTGCATAGGCATAGGCAAAGGCGGACCACTATTGGAGACCATTCTAACGGTAGCTGGGCCTAGGGTTTAAAAACAGTATTAAAGAAAGATGCTAATAATTTACTTTTAGAAAAATAAAATCCTTTTTATCAATAGGCTTTATACATATTAACTAACTGCTAACATTAGTTTTGGCCGAGTTTACGCAGCAATACGAAGAGGAATATTGGGAAATTGAAATGGTACAAATAAGCTGTATACGTCTACTCACTTAGTAACAAATCAGTAGAGATTAAATATGATCATGAGTAGGACAGCAGTAGTTGGGAGTAAACTAATAACAAGTAAACCAGTAGATAGCCCTCAAATGCCCATTTATGTGTTAACAGCCTCTGCCAGAGAAGTCCTATTCACTGCCTTCATGTGATAGGAGTGTTTCCACAAGTGAAAGAACGTGGGAGAATATCCGGGGCTTATCAACGGACTGACGGACAGAGAGTCCACCTAGCGGAGTTGGGAAACCCCGACTCCAAACAGACAGTGCAACATGGGCTCCAGGTTCCAGAAGGAATTAATGGCATATGAACCCATTTTGGTCACCAAGTTGCTCCACTGCCTTGTGGATTAGACTTCAAGTCAAAGACTCGGGAAGTGGTCCTCTAAGATAACCAACTGTTCCCGTCTGGATGTCCGGGTAGTCTTCAAGCCGTCAAATAAAATATGAGTTTACAGTGTAAATATAGATTTCGAAGCAATTAACCAACTTCCCTGAGAATACTCAAGCCCTCTGCACTACGGACTCTACAACCTAATGTTCATTTATTGCGATTACTTTGCTTCTCTTGTTTTAACATATCAACTGTATTTTCTTATTATTATCATTTTCCTCTTTTTCTTTTGCTTCACTCAGCTGCTCTTCGGTGCTTAGACCTCCAGTCAGTCTGAACCGTTTTGAGTTGTTAAACAGTTACCCAATTTAGCCATTCTCCAGTGCGAAATCGGACACAGCCATCCCGAAACCACTGGTATCGTATAAGCTCTACACCTTCAACGTTCGCACCTTGATGCAGATCACCACACAGGCACGTTTGGCTAGGACTCGAGAAACCCTCGATACTGATGTGTGCTGCATCGCGGAGACCCGTAATAAGATCCCAGTGAAGTGCTTCACATAAATTCATGTACGCTTATCCGGAGACCCTGTGACATAAGCAACCGTCTCTCTGGTGTCGCACCAAGCAATCAAACCAAAGCTGAACTAATCGATCGGATCCCCACCAACAGTCGTTTGTGTGGTGTTAGGCTAGAAGGTTCAACTCGAGTAAGAACCAACCAACAAGAGAAACGATGTCTCATTGTCATCTCTTCCAATGCTCCGAAGGATTGTAGCCCGGATGAAACCAAAAATAAATCCAATCATCAACTGAATAACCTTCTCAACCAAGTGAGCTCAACAGATATTGTAGTGTTAGCTGGGAACTTGAATGTCCAGGTCGGGTATCTGGGCTCAGAGGAGAGTCGTTTAAATGACCAATGGGGACTAGTTGGCCTCAGGTCGGATAGTGGGGATTGTCTTCTGCAGCTCTGCAAAGATCACAGTCTATTTCTGGTCAGCACCAACTTCCGACGCAAACATCAACGTTGTGCTGCTTGACGTCTTCGCTCTTCCACTCAAGCCCGAACTCAAATAAATCATATTGCAATGAGCTATGAATGGCGTGGGTGCATACAGGAGTGCCGCTCCATATGGAGTACTTGACTGGACTCTGACCATGCTTCATTGTGTGCTAAGCTCACCTTGCGCTTTGGTGGTCGTCAAAATCGCCGTCCTGAACAGGTTGTTGTAAGCAAACTAGTTGCACCTAATATTGTAGCTAAATACCAATCCGAGCTAGATTTAAGCCTAGCGACAGATCCTCCAGAAAGTGTATAGATGAGCATTGGCGGCACTTGCAAGACTCCATGAAGGTGGCGAGTACAGCCACCTGCAGCCTGAAAGAACGTCCCGCGAATAAACAGTAGGTTTCTGTGAGCTCCCTGAGACTTTTTAACGCCCGTCGGACTATTCCGACGGACAGCGAGTACAATGGTTCGCGTAGGTCTCTTACACGGAAGATTACACAATGCTTAAGCAAGGACTGTGAGGCTTGGTGGCCAGAACGCTTGAGTGAGATGGGAGCAAGTGCTGAATCGCACAATAGTATAAAGCTGTTCAAGCTCATCGAAGCCACTGGCAGCAAGAAGCCTGGTGTCAGTGAGACGGTCTGTGATAATACGCCGATTAACAATCCTCAAAGACGCCTGTAACGCCGGGTGGAGCACTTAGAAAAGCAGTTTGGCTGGCTCACTGCTCCAGCATTCACAGTTTCAGTATATCGTACCCCATGTTCAGTTAACACAGGCCCGCCCAAAGAAGCGGAGATCCATAGAGAACTTCATGTTCTGAAATGCCACAAGGTACCCGACCCAGACAACTTACCACCAGTTCCTTTTAACGACACAGGAACGACTATAGTCAGGGAACTGACTAAACTGTTTGAGAAGTTTTGGAAGATTTACAGTATTCCATCACTATGGAATAAAGCCCCTGTTTTACCCATCTTTAAAAAGTGTCTACGTAATGCATGTGACAATCATCGGGATATTAGTCTGTTATCAGTAGCATCGAAAATATTGGCTGCTATCTTACATCACAGACCTTGCGAAAAGCGTGAGAAAATCATTTGCAAAGAGTAGACCGGCTTTCGTTTACGTCGTTTACCCCCACCAGATGCTTGAACATCACCAGACATACTGCAGGTTAATAATCGTCGTGCTTCTTGACATTAGAGCTGCCTTCGGTTCGTTGAACAGAGTTGTGCTCCGAAATTTTCCCTTAGAGACGGGTGTGCTTGAGAAACTTATTAACACCCTTGAACATGTATTTAATAACACCTCAGATAGAGTGTGGGCATACAAACACCTGTATTCATCGTTCCGAACTAGCAGTTAGATCAGGCAAGGTTGTCCACTTTCACCTTACTAGCAATGACATTCTGCAGGCATCGCTCAAGAAGGTGCAAAATGGTGGTGTAAATCTATTACCCGGAGAGCGGCAATTCGACCTCGAATATGCCGATGATACCTTCCTATTGTGCGATAACACACTAGCTACTCAAATAGCAATTAATCAGTTGGCAATAAATGTCCGTAAGCATGATATGTGCTTTGCACCATTGAAGTGAAAAGTACTTTTGCAAGATTAACAGAAATCTGTACACAAGCTTACCTTCGGTGATGAGCAATTGCAAGTAGTCGAAAAGTTCATATATCTGAGTAGTTGTGTGAGTGCTGGTGGACGTGCAAGTCGTGATATTTCTAACCGTATATAGAAAGCCAGAGTGGCGCACGTCAATCTCGGCCACTCTTCGCTCCATCGCAACATTAATCTGACCATTAAACGTCACGTTTACGACCATTCGGTGTGGCCAGTTTTCTGCTCTACCTACCCCTGTGAAACATGGCCTCTCCGAGATGAGCATGTCCAACGACTCTGTGTCTTCAATAATTGTTGGATTGTTGTCTCCATAGGATTGATTGTTCGTATCCAGTGGCAACACCATGTAAGTCATTGTGAGCTACGACAATGTGTGGTGTTTCGTCATGATGGAGATCGTCATTGACTAAGTAAAGTCATCTGGAAACACCGACTTCGGTGGCTTCGACATGTCTTATGCATGTCGTCTCAACGGCTTCCACACCGTTCATTATTTGCTAGACCTCAGTCTCGAACTGGATAGGAGAAGTGGAAGGGTGGTCAGTGTATCACGTGGCACTGTTGTATGAATGATACTTGTATCACGTTAACATCTGTCGGTGCAGCATCACGACTCCATGGGTGAGGTCAGAGAGATCATGGAAGTCAGTGGATGATTCACACGTTACCTATCATATATGGCTTAGAATGGAAACCAGTAGGGGTCATGATGTAGTTTTCTCCTATCTTCTGCTGTTGAAAAGCAATGAATGATTTGTTTTGAATGTAAATAACTGGACTGCCCTTCTAATCATTCTATTCTTACTGCGTTTTCTTTCTTACTTATTCACTTCCCTTAGCTTTATGTCTTCATAAGGTTGTTACATTATTTTGTTTGGTGCATTTCATGAAACGTTTGGTTGTACCATGTCTGTGGTCTTATAATAATAGTATGAATAAAACCAATAGATCAACAAAAAGTGATGGTGGTGGGATATCAGCATTTGGACACTCATCTTATACGATAGGGTGATGCTTGAAGATGAAACGAAAAACTAGTTCATCGAGAGATGGAAACCAGTGACATTCGGGGTTAGTAACTTGCATATCCAGCTTCTGACTAGATCTCAATTTCACCTCAACCACCAACTGCTTTGCGTTTGGCTATCATAAGGATGGGTGATACGCTATAACATCAGACATGTAAACCAAGAGCTGTTGGTTGAATTCCTATTGCAACATTAGTCTTCATATTAACAACAATCATCAGTGTATCACATATATGAAGAAAATGGTTATCTCAGGTGCTTTAATCCTTTTTTTCTGGTTAAAACGCAAGTTGATGTGATTATAATTCTGATTTATCCAAGTTAATCATTCCCATTTTTAGACAAGCTCATTGCAAGTTGAATTGAAAACTCGCTAACAACAAAGATGACTTGTCTACATGAAAGATTTCTCTTATGACAATTCAATTTATTTCTAGATATCAGTTGCATCCCTGTGCTAATATAGAAAAAGTTTAGTTCGTGTAGAGAACGTCAGTGATTAAATGAAGTATAGCCCCAGTCAACAAGTGGGTCTCATAACTCGTTTGGGGTAGGGCGCTGAGTCGGTAACGTAGTATCAATGATACCAGTCTACTAAACCACGTTTATATTACGTAGTCTCATTAATAATTGTCTGAAGAAGTTCATAACGTCCTATTACAACCTAGAGTAAGAATTCTTCAGATTAGACATTAGAAAACCAGATAAACGACTGCAGATCACACTGGCTAAGATAGTCACACGTAAAATGTAAAAGAGATTTTTCATAACAGATAGAC